TTTTCCCTGCCCCCAAAAAATTTGCTGAAACTCTAACACTACATTTTAAACTACCCCATACCTCTTTGACCCCATTGCCTTTTGCTCTCTTTTGCCCATTATCCTCCAATAGCTTTTTATATTCTTTACCCTAACTGCCTCCCTTTTTATTTTATAAACCTTCACCTCTCTCTTCCCTGATGCTTCTATTCCCCTTTTTATCCCATCTACCTTTTACTCTCAGTGTAGCTACAACTAGAAAGTGATCTGATATATCTGTGGCCCTCTAAAAAAATGTACACCCTGAAGTCTACTCAACAGTCTTTTATCTACCATACATAATCCAACAAATACTGTCTTTTCGCCTACATCATATCGTGTATACTTATTTATCTCTTTTTCTTAAATAGGGTATTACCTATAACTAAACCCCTTTCTATACAAGTTCAATCAAAGGGCTCCCATTTCATTTACACCTGGCACCCAAACTTACCTACCACACCCTCTCTAAAAGTTTCTCCTACTTTAGCATTCAAGTCCCCTACCACAATTACTCTCTCACTTGGTTCAAAGGCTCCTATACATTCACTTAACATCTCCCAAAATCTCTCTCTCTCCTCTGCTTTCCCTCTCTTCTCCAGGTGCATACAGCTTATTATGACCACTTCTCGCATCCAACCTTTACTTTAATCCACATAATTCTTGAATTTACACATTCATATTCTCTTCAATATAAACACTTGATCTACACATCCCCTACCCACTCTAAAACCTCCTTGCTCATCCGCAATCCTACATTCTGTCTTACCTCTAATTCTTTCAATTGTAACCTACCGTACACTTTTCCTGGTATACTCAATAAACTTATTCCTCTAAAATTTTTTAAACAATCTCTTTTGTCCCTTTCCCTTTATAAAAAGGGGGACTATAAAATGCTCTCCGCCAACCCCTAGGTACCTTCCCCTCTTTCATACATTTATTAAACAAAAGTCCAACCACTCCAACACTATATCCCCCCCCTGCTTTTAACATTTTTTGTCATGATCCCATCAGTTTCCAGCTGCTTTACCTCCTTTCATTCTACGTAATGCCTCGCGTACCTCCCCCCCACTTACATTCTGCTCTTCTTCACTCCTAAAGATGGTATACCTCCCCGACCAGTGCATGAAATTACCGCCTTCCTTTTTCCTCAACATTTAAAAAATTCCTCAAAAAATTCTCGCCCTCTACCTAATACCTCCCTTTTCCCAATCTACTAACTCTCCTACTCTGTTTTTAACTGACAAATCCATACTTTCCCTAGGCTTTCTTAACTTGTTTAACTCACTCCCAAAAATTTTTTTTTATTTTCATTTAAAATTTCTTGACAGTGCCTCTCCCACTCTATCATCTGCTCTCCTTTTGCACTCTCTCACCACTCTCTTCACCTTTCTTTTACTCTCCATATACTTTGCTTTCTTATAACATTTGCTTTGTAAAATCTCTCCAACTTTTTCTCTTTTATCACCTTTACTTCATTTATTCCCCCAATCACTCCTCTTTCCACCTGCCCCACCCTCCTATAACCACAAACTTCAGCCCCCATTCTAATACTGCATTTTTAAAACTATTCCATCCTCTTCAACCCCCCCACTACTCATCTTTTTCACTAGCCCACCTTTCTGCCAACAGTCGTTTATATCTCCCCCGAACTTCCTCCTCCCTTAGTTTATACACTTTCACCTCCCTCTTACTTGTTGTTGCCACCTTCCTCTTTTCCCATCTACCTCTTACTCTAACTGTAGCTACAACTAGATAATGATCCGATATAACAGTTGCCCCTCTATAAACATGTACATCCTGGAGCCTACCCATCAACCTTTTATCCACCAATACATAATCTAACAAACTACTTTCATTATGTGCTACAAATTTTACTTTTATTATTTTCTTAAGAAATTATTATATAAAGTACTTTAGCTGCCAATCTTTTACTTATAGAAAGCAGAGGCTTGTTATTGGAGGCATTCTACTTTAATGGGTTTTTATTGTTTCATAATTATTTTTACTTACATTATTAATCATCTGAATTCTGCTTTATTGTTTAAATTTGAGAACACAAGCAAGAAAATTCAAAAGGTAATAAATAGATATGATAATGAAACTAACCCTTAGAATGTCTTGCATGAGAGTGCCACGTCCAGGTCCCAGTTCCACTAGCTGCAGTGGCTTGGGTGATCCCAACTTGTACCATTCACTGTAGACCCACACACCTACAAGCTGGAGAACAATATCATAACACCTGTAAATAATTATGGCTCAGAAAATGAAGAATACTCTTGAACAGTTGTGAATAAATAAAACTACAAATACTTAGATTAATATAAAATTAATCTATGCTAGAGCCTCACATAATGCTAGAGTTACGCTCCTTAAGTTGATGCTTTATGTAATTAGCACTGTGTAATGTGAATGATTTTTTTTTTAACACACTGGCAGTTTCCCACCGAAGCAGGGTGACCCAAAAAGAGAGAAAAAGCTTTCATCATTATTCAACACTTTCACTACCATTTATACATAATCACTGTCTTTGCTGAGGCACTCAGATACGACAGTTTAGATGTCCCTCCAAACTGCTAATATCCCAAACCCCTCCTTGAACACTTAAACTGTCCAAACGTAGATCCACATTTGTACCGCTAACGCTTCAAACGTAGATCTATGTTTTATTTTTCCTGCCTCCAAATTTGGCACAATTGGCCTGAGATACTTGGTCAGTATAGAATGGGTCTTAACATTCGGTGTGTAGGTTGGTAGACAGCAACCACCCAGGGAAGTACTACCGTCCTGCCAGATGACTGTGAAACAGAAACCTGTAACTGTTTTGCATGATGGTAGGATTGCTGGTTTCTTTTTCTGTCTCATAAACACGCTAGATAGCAGGGATATCTTGCTACTCCTACTTACACTTTGGTCACACTTCACAGACACGCACATGCATATATATATACATACACCCTAGGTTTGTCTCCTTTTTCTAAATCTCTTGTTCTTCTTTATTTCTTCTATTGTCCAAGGGGAAGTGGAAAAGAATCTTTCCTCCGTAAGCCATGCGTGTCGTATGAGGCGACTAAAATGCCGGGAGCAATGGGCTAGTAACCCCTTCTCCTGAAGACATTTACTAAAAAAGAGAAGAAGAAAAACTTTATAAAACTGAGATGCTTGAATGTGCGTGGATGTAGTGCGGATGACAAGAAACAGATGATTGCTGATGTTATGAATGAAAAGAAGTTGGATGTCCTGGCCCTAAGCGAAACAAAGCTGAAGGGGGTAGGGGAGTTTCGGTGGGGGGAAATAAATGGGATTAAATCTGGAGTATCTGAGAGAGTTAGAGCTAAGGAAGGGGTAGCAGTAATGTTGAAGGATCAGTTATAGCAGGAGAAAAGAGAATATGAATGTGTAAATTCAAGAATTATGTGGATTAAAGTAAAGGTTGGATGCGAGAAGTGGGTCTTAATAAGCGTGTATGCACCTGGAGAAGAGACGAATGCAGAGGAGAGAGAGAGACATTTTGGGAGATGTTAAGTGAATGTATAGGAGCCTTTGAACCAAGTGAGAGAGTAATTGTGGTAGGGGACCTGAATGCTAAAGTAGGAGAAACTTTTAGAGAGGGTGTGGTAGGTAAGTTTGGGGAACCAGGTGTAAATGATAATGGGAGCCCTTTGATTGAACTTTGTATAGAAAGGGGTTTAGTTATAGGTAATGCATATTTTAAGAAAAAGAGGATAAATTAAGTATACAAGATATGATTGTAGGGTGAAATGACAGTAGTTTGTTGGATTATGTATTGGTAGATAAAAGACTGTTGAGTAGACTTCAAGATGTACATGTTTATAGAGGGGCCACAGATATATCAGATCACTTTCTAGTTGTAGCTACACTGAGAGTAAAAGGTAGATGGGATACAAGGAGAATAGAAGCATCAGGGAAGAAAGAGGTGAAGGTTTATAAAATAAAAGAGGAGGCAGTTAGGGTAAGATATAAACAGCTATTGGAGGATAGATGGGCTAATGAGAGCATAGGCAATGGGGTCGAAGAGGTATAGGTTATGTTTAGAAATGTAATGTTAGAGAGTTCAGCAGAAGTTTGTGGTTACAGGAAAGTGGGTGCGGGAGGGAAGAGGAGCGATTGGTGGAATAATGATGTAAAGAGAGTAGTAAGGGAGAAAAAAGTTAGCATATGAGAAGTTTTTACAAAGTAGAAGTGATGCAAGGAGGGAAGAGTATATGGAGAAAAAAGAGAGAGGTTAAGAGAGTGGTGAAGCAATGTAAAAAGAGAGCAAATGAGAGAGTGGGTGAGATGTTATCAACAAATTTTTTTTGAAAATAAGAAAAAGTTTTGGAGTGAGATTAACAAGTTAAGGAAGCCTAGAGAACAAAATGGATTTGTCAGTTAAAAATAGGAGAAGAGAGTTATGAAATGGAGAGTTAGAGGTATTGGGAAGATGGAGGGAATATTTGAGGAATTGTTAAATGTTGATAAAGATAGGGAAGCTGTGATTTTGTGTATAGGGCAAGGAGGAATAACATCTTGTAGGAGTGAGGAAGAGCCAGTTGTGAGTGTGGGGGAAGTTCGTGAGGCAGTAGGTAAAATGAAAGGGGGTAAGGCAGCCGGGATTGATGGGATAAAGATAGAAATGTTAAAAGCAGGTGGGGATATAGTTTTGGAGTGGTTGGTGCAATTATTTAATAAATGTATGGAAGAGGGTAAGGTACCTAGGAATCGGCAGAGAGCATGCATAGTTCCTTTGTATAAAGGCAAAGGGGACAAAAGAGAGTGCAAAAATTATAGGGGGATAAGTCTGTTGAGTATACCTGGTAAAGTGTATGGTAGAGTTATTATTGAAAGAATTAAGAGTAAGACGGAGAATAGGATAGCAGATGAACAAGGAGGCTTTAGGAAAGGTAGGGGGGTGTGTGGACCCGGTGTTTTACAGTGAAAAAATATAAGTGAACAGTATTTAGATAAGGCTAACGAGGTCTTTGTGGCATTTATGGATTTGGAAAAGGCGTATGACAGGGTGGATAGGGGGGCAATGTGGCAGATGTTGCAGGTGTATGGTGTAGTAGGAGGTAGGTTACTGAAAGCAGTGAAGAGTTTTTACGAGGATAATGAGGCTCAAGTTAGAGTATGTAGGAAAGAGGGAAATTATTTCCCAGTTAAAACTAGGCCTTAGACAAGGATGTGTGATGTCACCGTGGTTGTTTAAAATATTTATAGATGGGGTTGTAAGAGAAGTAAAAGCGAGGGTCTTGGCAAGAGGCGTGGAGTTAAAAGATAAAGAATCACACATAAAGTGGGAGTTGTCACAGTTGCTCTTTGCTGATGACACTGTGCTCTTGGGAGATTCTGAAGAGAAGTTGCAGAGATTGGTGGATGAATTTGGTAGGGTGTGCAAAAGAAGAAAATTAAAAGTGAATACAGGAAAGAGTAAGGTTATGAGGATAACAAAAAGATTTTGGTGATGAAAGATTGGATATCAGATTGGAGGGAGAGAGTATGGAGGAGGTGAATGTATTCAGATATTTGGGATGTGGACGTGTCAGCGGATGGGTCTATGAAAGATGAGGTGAATCACAGAATTGATGAGGGGAAAAGGGTGAGTGGTGCACTTAGGAGTCTGTGGAGATAAAGAACTTTGTCCTTGGAGGCAAAGAGGGGAATGTATGAGAGTATAGTTTTACCAACGCTCTTATATGGGTTTTGAAGCATGGGTGATGAATGTTGCAGCGAGGAGAAGACTGGAGGCAGTGGAGATGTCATGTCTGAGGGCAATGTGTGGTGTGAATATAATGCAGAGAATTCGTAGTTTGGAAGTCAGGAGGAGGTGCGGGATTACCAAAACTGTTGTCCAGAGGGCTGAGGAAGGGTTGTTGAGGTGGTTCGGACATGTAGAGAGAATGGAGCAAAACAGAGTGACTTCAAGAGTGTATCAGTCTGTAGTGGAAGGAAGGCGGGGTAGGGGTCGGCCTAGGAAAGGTTGGAGGGAGGTGGTCAAGGAGGTTTTGTGTGCAAGGGGTTTGAACTTCCAGCAGGCATGCGTGAGCGTGTTTGATAGGAGTGAATGGAGACAAATGTTTTTTTTTTAATACTTGACGTGCTGTTGGAGTGTGAGCAAAGTAACATTTATGAAGGGGTTCAGGGAAACCGGCAGGCCGGACTTGAGTCCTGGAGATGGGAAGTACAGTGCCTGCACTCTGAAGGAGGGGGTGTTAATGTTGCAGTTTAAAAACTGTAGTGTAAAGCACCCTTATGGCAAGACAGTGATGGAGTGAATGATGGTGAAAGTTTTTCTTTTTCGGGCCACCCTGCCTTGGTGGGAATCGGCCAGTGTGATAATAAATAAAAATAGCAGGACTTGATGTTGCCATCATTTGAGCATCCAGCGCCAACTTCGCGGTCTATCTCGGTAAGTACTGGTCCTAATTTTTTTTTTTTTGTCTTATAACACACAGAAAATTACAGTCTTTAATTTAAATTTTTTTTTTTTTTTTTCAAAATATTCGGAGTGCTGGCAGTGAAAACATAGATCTACGTTTGGACAGTTTAAGGGTTAAAGTGTAGGAATTGTACTTCCCACCTCCAGGACTCAAGTCCGACTAACTGGTTTCCCTGAAACCCTTCACAAAATATTACCCTGCTCACACTCCAGCAGCTCGTCAGGTCCCAAAAAAACATTTGTCTTCATTCACTCCTATCTAACATACTCACGCACACTTGCTGGAAGTCCAAGCCCCTCATCCACAAAACCTCTTTGACCTCCTCCCTTCAACCTTTCCTAAGACAACCCCTACCCCGCCTTCCTTTCCCTACAGATTTATACGCTCTCCAAGTCATTCTGTGAATAACATATGGGAAAAATTGGGTTAGGTTCCTGACTCCTCCAAATAAGCCAAACAATTTTTTTTTTTAATTTCCTATTTTGTCAAATAACATGAAAAGGAGGGCCCCACTTTACAGCACTTTACTTTAAAGCATTTCACTAATACAGCAGTTTTCAATTACATATACCCATTTTTCATTATTCATTGACTTCCACAATAAATATGTTCACCACTCATTAGCTCCTGGTTCTTTGTTTACTTTTGTTAGGGAGGCATACTAGTATGTTGGAAATAATCATCCTCTGAGCAGTTAACAATGAACATTGTGTGGACCTTACTGGCCTTAGATTTTTTCAAATATATGAGCAGATGGAAGAAGACCCGAAGAGTTGTGCTGAGACCAAAAGTCCTGGCAGAAGGCAGATTTGTGGGTACAAAAAATTGTGAGTACTAGAATGATGGACACACTGTAAACATTCTGTAGGCATTTGCATTCTAGGATGTTGGACACAGCAAAAGGGTTAAACCATACACACTGTCAGAGTTTTACTTTTCCCATCATGCACTGCATGAGGCAGGATTTTTTTTATACTGTGCACACTTAATGCACAGACCCATATCTAGTCCAAAATTTGCCACTCACTGCTTATTTGAGTGACCTGAGCTAATGACACAGAACTATGTCTGGGACCCCTGGCCTCAATGACACAGTTTTACATGACAGCCACTAAAAAGGTTAAATGAAATGAGAAATCAGAGCACAGACATCCTCTCAGGGATGCTGAATTTTCAGATTTGACAAGACATCAAGGATACACACAAATTTAAAATTTGTGTTCCTAAAAGGCTAAGTACAGTATGAATAAATATGTAGTGTGAATTTTATAAATTAAACGCAATAATGGGTGAGGTAATATAGCAACAAATGAAATAAAAGAAAACTTACTTCACCAAACATCTGACATATCTCGGGTGAAGTGATGTAGTCTCCCTGGCTTCCAAACATATCCTGACCGGCTGCATAATATCCTGCGACTGGATTGATTAGTACTTCTTTCATGTAATCGTAAACTGTCAAAGGTCCTGTCAAAAAAGTGTGTCATCATTTACATGAACCACAACTATAATTTAAAATCCTGATACTGATACTAATTTTTTTTTTTCAACAAACTGGCCATATCCCACCAAGGCAAGGTGGCCCAAAAAGAAAAACAAAAGTTTCTCTTTCTAAATTTAGGGGTGTGTATATATATGCTTGTACATGTATGTGTAGTGTGACCTAAGTGTAAGTAGAAGTAGCAAGACGTACCTGAAATCTTGCATGTATAAGAGACAGAAAAATAGACACCAGCAATCCTACCACCATGTAAAACAATTACAGGATTCCGCTTTACACTCACTTGGCAGGACGGTAGTACCTCCCTGGGTGGTTGCTGTCTACCAACCTACTACCTATAACTGATACTAATACCAGTACCAATATACATATAAGCTTAATGCTCAAATGCTACAGATGTACCTAGCAGGCAGGTGGTACAGTACATGGCACATATCATCATCATCACTCCATTAAGGAGTTACTTGCTAGCAGCACCTGGACCCCTGTTTGTCCCCAAAGTTACAGATTAATCAACATTGCAAGTACTGATGGAAAATCTATAAGATTTTCAAAACTTCCTTAAGCAACTAAAACTTAGTTGAAGGTGAGGTGTCCACAGTGTGACAGAGACCTCCAGTTAACTGCTGCTGACAAAGGGCTGTTCTGTAATTGAATCACTTCAATTACAGAATTTTTGGATGTCAATCTACATACAGTTGTGCCTTCTACCACTGCTGTTTGTGGTGGAAGTTCTGATTGTTGATGATCTAAGGTAGAAGTGGGTTGACTTGGACAGTCTCAGATGTCCTATAAGTAGGGAAAAAAAAAAAGCATCTGTCTGTTGTCTCAAAGCAGTGTTAGCTGTGCTGTGATGCCATTAGAATAGACTTAACCTATTATTCACAAAAAGTATCTGCTCCTTTGAGTGAGATGCTGATGACTTTAAAATATTATAAAAAATATTGTAGCAAAGACCTATTTATCTCACCTGACAATTTGATGCGAGCTTTTAACTGCTTCAGAAGTGGCGTTTCTGGTGATTTTGAATTTGGAATGACTTGGCTTCTACTCACAGGGACACTTGTCCCAATACTTCTAATATGAGTACATGTGGAAAGTCTGCCTTTCTTGTATTTTTCTTTAGAAATTGATCCTGAAAATACAAATTTCAATCATATGTTGCTGTGTGCTTATGGGCATAATGGAAAGTTATTGGTTGTAAACCCTCATTCTGTAGAATACCTATCTACCATGGAGTCCCATGATTCTGACATCACCAGGTTCTCAGAATCCCAGCAAAATGCAAATAAGTGAAATAACAGAAAATGCAGTAAATCCTCTCACCTTGTATGGAATAGGTCCCCAAAAATTGGTGCCCCATGAACATTTGCTTAATGTGAAGTGTAGAACATATGGGAAAAATAGGATTACATTCCATACACCTCCAAATTTGCCAAACAAATTACTTTCAACCTTTAAACAGTGTTCAGTACACCAGTGTGCAGGTGATGAGGATGTGATAGATGTACTTGCATGCCAGTTTTTTTGTGGCTTCAAATACATCACTTGCTGATATTTTTGGTCTCAGCTCAGCTGGGTCCATGCAGTGCATTGTAGAGTAACACTGCCTGTGGCATGTGCTAAGTATGTTACATTTTATTCCACATTTGTCACACAACTATTCGGCATGACCTCTCGACCAGTGAACTGGCAATTAGGAAGGTAGCAGTTCTGGGGCCCCAGTGTTGTGCTTATTATCCAGTTCAAACCCACCAATCACGTGGAAGGGGGACTCCTTCAATCAACACGATATAACTTCAGCTGATCTGGTTGAGTGGCAGACTTCCAATGTCACTGGTCATGACCATTAGTGCTTTGAGTGGCTCTGATTAGTACCACTTCCAATCTGTCTTATTCTCTTATCAATACTGTACATAGTGTATATATTGGTGAAGGAATACATGGGTAAAAAAGTCTACCCCTGCTTGGTTGCCTTGCCCTAGCTCTGTTCTGCTGAGTTCTTTGCTTGTTGACTTAGTTATGACTACCATCTGTGTTTATAATACTGCCTAATTAGCATAAGCAAACAATGAAACCAGGATCTGTTCTTACACCATCAGCTTTCCAACCAGCTCTTGGTCAAAGAAATTGGACATGTTTTCCCATTCCTTGGATCAATCTTGATGATTCCTATTCCACACATGTTGTATCTCTACAGGCTGTGTTTCCATCTAAATATGTTTTTTTTTTTTTTAACAAATCGGCCGTCTCCCACCGAGGCAGGGTGACCCAAAAAGAAAGAAAAGCCCCAAAAAGAAAATACTTTCATCATCATTCAACTCTTTCACCTCACTCACATATAATCACTGTTTTTGCAGAGGTGCTCAGAACACAACAGCTTAGAAGCATATACATATAAAGATACACAACATATACCTCCAAACTGTCAACATCCCGAACCCCTCCTTTAGAGTGCAGGCATTGTACTTCCCATTTCCAGGACTCAAGTCCGGCTATATATAAAAATAATCGGTTTCCCTGAATCCCTTCACTAAATATTACCCTGCTCACACTCCAACAGATCGTCAGGTCCCAAGTACCATTCATCTCCATTCACTCCTATCTAACACGCTCACGCAGGCTTCCTGGAAGTCCAAGCCCCTCGCCCACAAAACCTCCTTTACCCCCTCTCTCCAACCCTTTTGAGGACGACCCCTACCCCGCCTTCCTTCCCTATAGATTTATATGCTTTCCATGTCATTCTACTTTGATCCATAATAATATATATAATAATAATATTGACTCACAAAACTGCAATAACACTATTGCAAGTAAATCACAGTATGTTAGCCACTGGACCAGCTGGCTACAATAAGATTCATCCAACTTAGTTGGACGAGTTTGGTTGACTGGAACAATGGAATTGGCTGAAAATAGGGCTCAAAGTGCGCCAAATCACCGATGCGTATATATCACAGAGATCGCTAACTTCACGAGAGCATAATTCCATAAGTTTTCCATCAAATTTCGTACTTTTGGTGTCATTACCATCAGCAATGGTTCTCTATCATTTCATAAGAATTTTTTTTTTTAACCCTTTGACTGTCGCGGCCGTATATATACGTCTTACGAGGTACCGTGTTTGACGTATACTCATAAATTCTAGCGGCTTCAAATCAAGCAGGAGAAAGCTGGTAGGCCCACATGTGAGAGAATGGGTCTGTGTGGTCAGTGTGCACCATATAAAAAAAATCCTGGAGCACGCAGTGCATAACGAGAAAAAAAACTCCGATCGTTTTTTTTAATTAAAATGCCGACTTTGTGGTCTATTTTCGTATAGTATTTATGGTTGTATTCTCGTTTTCTTGGTCTCACTTGATAGAATGGAAAACATATTATAGAAATAGAGGTGATTTTGGTTGATTTTACTATAAAAGAAACCCTGGAAATGGAGCTCAAAGTAGGGGAAATGTTTGATTTTTGCCAATGTTCAAAAGCAAACAAATGATGTCATTGTCCAATAAATGTCCAACTAGCCATTCTAATATGCAGTCATGAATGGGTTGATGTTATTTATACAATTATTACATTATTGCAGTAGTCTGCATAATAGTAAGTCTTCTATTTTTTGTTTGAATAAAAATTCAAAACAGAAAGCAAGAGTAATATCAGAGGGGCCTGGAGACATGACTGATAAACAAAGAAAATGTTATTTTAGAGCCAGGAATGTCTGCATTGTTCATTCTGGACCTTATTTTGAAATTGTCATATTTTTAAATTTTTGTGAAATTGGCCAAATTGCAAATTTCTTACCACATTATTGGGTAGTTGAAATCAGTAAATGGGCAGTTTCTTGTACTCAATCGATAGAAAAAATGGAGTTCTAAAGAAATAGCTATGAGTTTGGTTGACTGGAATAACGGAATTAGCCTAAAATAGGGCTCAAAGTGGGTGAAATCGCCGATTTGTAAATATCGCTGAGGTCGCTAACTTTGCGAGAGCATAATTCCGTCAGTTTTCCATCAAATTTCGTTTTTTTGGTGTCATTACAATCGGGAAAAGATTCTCTATCGTTTCATAAGAAAAAATAATTTTTTTGTTTAAATTTTGCGACACCAGGAGACACCTCAGGATTGGGGGTTGCAACAGTCAGGGGGTTAATACAGTATTTTGCGACACAGAGATACACATTAGGATTTGGGGTCGAGACAGTCGAAGGGTTAAAAGAGAAAAGAAAACAAGAGAGTAAACAAATTTGTTTATTTTAACCCTTTCATTGGCCATCACATAGAACTACATCAATGATTCAAAGTTTATTGTCTATAAGGATTACAATGCTGAGTTTACAGAATTTGGTTATTGTGTGGTTTACATGTAGTAAAATAATAATTACAGAGTGTATCACTAGAACACCTAGCATGGCTAGGCATATCGGGCAGACTTAGATTAAATCTTAAGTTTAAAATATTACAAATTATGAGGTAAGTTGGTATTATGGCTAAGTGACTTAACCCTTTGACTGTCGCAACCCCCAATCCTGAGGTGTCTCCTGGTGTCGCAAAATTTAAAAAAAAAAAAAAAAAAAAAAAAAATTTCTTATGACATGATAGAGAATCTTTTCCTGATTGTAATGACACCAAAAAAAAGCAAAATTTGATGGAAAAAACTGACGGAATTATGCTCTCGCGAAGTTAGCGACCTCGGCGCTGTTTACAAATCGGCGATTTCACCCACTGTGAGCCCTATTTTCGGCTAATTCCATTGTTCCAGTCGCCCAAACTCATAGCTATTTCTTTAGAACTCCATTTTTTCTATCAATTGAGAACAAGAAACTGCCCATTTACCGATTTCAACTACCTAATAATGTGGTCAGAAATTTGCAATTTGGCCAATTTCACGAAAACTAAAAAATATGACAATTTCAAAATAAGGTCCAGAATGAACAATGCAGACATTCCTGGCTCTAAAATAACATTTTCTTTGTTCATCGGTCATGTCTCCAGGCCCCTCTGATATTACTCTTGTTTTCTATTTTGAATTTTTATTCAAACAAAAAATAGAAGACTTACTATTATGCAGACTACTGCAATACTGTAAGAATTGCATAAATAACATCAACCCATTCATGACTGCATATTAGAATGGCTAGTTGGACATTTATTGGACAATGGCATCATTTGTTTACTTTTGAACATTGGCAAAAATCAAACATTTCCCCTACTTTGAGCTCCATTTCTAGGTTCTTTTTATAGTAAAACCAATCAAAATCACCTCTATTTTTATAATATGTTTTCCATTCTATCAAATGAGACCAAGAAAACGAGAATACAACCATAAATACTATACGAAAATAGACCACAAAGTTGGCATTTTAATTAAAAAAAAAGGTCAAAGTTTTTTTTTTCTCATTATGCACTGCGTGCTCCAGGATTTTTTTTATATGGTGCACACTGACCACACAGACCCATTCTCTCACATGTGGGCCTACCAGCTTTCTCCTGCTTGATTTGAAGCCGCTAGAATTTATGAGTATATATACGTCGAACACGGTACCTCGTAAGACGTATATATACAGCCGCGACAGTCAAAGGGTTAATACTAGTTTGTGAGTTTAGCAATGTGAATGCTTTTGTTTCGGCACAATACACAGTTTCAGTATTGGAGTATCACAGGCCAACTTATGAATAGTTAGGATTCATTATTTTAAGATTGAGATTGATATTTCTGTTTATGGTCAAATGGGTGAGTGAGTGTAAGTGTGAACCACCAGGTGGTATTCGTGTAATTAGTTGACAAGGTGTATCAGGGAGATAAGATGTTTTCTGATGGTAGTTTTGAATTTGATGAATGTGTCTGCAGTTCTAGAGTTTTCAGGTAGGGTGTTCCTAATTTTAGGGCCTTTGACATACATTGAATTTTTGTAAAGGTTTAGCTGGACACGGGGAATGTCATAGAGATGTTTGTCTGGTGTTATGCCTGTGGGTTCTGTCAAAACTATCAAGAGAACCAGAGAACCCTCACATAGTTACATGTCATGAGCTCAGCTCACTTAGATAAGCTGTGAGCAGTAAATTTTTGCCTAGATATGAGAGAATGGGTCTGCATGGTGACTGTGAATGGCATAAAAAAAAAAATTCTGCCCCATGCTGTTAATGATGGGAAAACCAAAACTCTGGTTTAAAATACATGTAGACACTTTGAGGTGTTTTCTAGGATGGCTTTTATGGTTTTATTGGAAGTATCATTTGATACAGGTCCGCCATCACAAATCCGGCAATCGGTTTCTCGGTTCCTTCAGTTATTCGGCACTAATTTTGGCTAGTATAATTTCAAATTTTCAGGGTCGCCACACCAACCTGCTGGTACTGCTTGGTGGCGCTACTTGTTGCAAAAGTCATTCTAATTTTTTCTCCATTTATTGTTATAACCTGCTTACTTTTAATTGTCCATTAAAGATAAGGTGGCTTTGAAGCCACTGTCCATTGCCATGAGCTCAGTCTCGTGATGCAGGGGAATATGCTTTATTATTACGCTAATATCAACACTACAGCTTATTGCCTATCACAATTGATCTAATATGACATAATAAACAATATAAATAATATAAAACATGCTAAATACTCCAGAATGAATAATATTTGGCATAATACCGAGCAGTTCGACGGAGGTATGAAGAGGATATGGGATACAAGTACCATTCTCCTACCCCTGTCTTGGGGCTTATATTAGAGAAAACGGATCATAGCACAGGGCTAACTATGATATACACTCGTACTGCAAAATAAACCTGAAATAAAAAAGCTATTTTCTCTATATATACTATCACACATAGCAGTATATGTGTAGAGAACCTAGGATAACCCAAAAAAAGTCAGACAATGTGGCTTATTTCTAGTACCTGGCTTGGGTTAGCCATATATGATTTTTGGCAAATATTCAATTCCCAGCCAGGGTAGAAACATTGGCCGTGTTTCTTTACACCTGTTGTCTATGTTCACCCATCAGTAAATGGGTACCTGGGTGTTAGTGGACTGGTGTGGGTGTTATCCTGGGACACTGACCTAATTTGCTTGAAATACTCTGCATAACAAGGGGCTTTCTATATAGTAATACAGTGGAACCTCAAGAATCGAATGTATCAATATCGAACGTTTCGAAAATAAGACCATTTTTTCGGACAAACTGTGTCCCAATTATCAAACGCGCCTCTAATTTCGGACCGCTAGGTACGGGACCCGTCTGCTGGCCCGCTCCGTCCGCAGCCCCACGCAGGCGCTGTGAGCAGTCTAGCTTTGTCTATGCTTGAGTGAACACTAACCTGCGCTCTCATTCACACATTTTACGATTATTTCGTTGTGTTTAGTGCTTGTGGGACTGTGAAATAAGCTGCCATGGGCCCAAAGAAACTTGCTAGTGGTACCCCTGTGGTAAAGAAAGTGAGAAACACCATAGATGTGAAGAAGGAAATAATACAGAAGTATGAGATTGGAGTGAGACTTGTTGAGCTTGCCAGGATGTACAGAGGACTGTGGACAGTTATTTTGTGAGACAGAAACAGACGACTGTGGAGTTATTTTGTGAGACAGAAACAGACGACTGTGGAGTTATTTTGTGAGACAAACAGACGATTGTGGACAGTTATTTTGTGAGACAGAAACAGACGACTGTGGATAGTTATTTTGCGAGACAGAAACAGAGGACTGTAGACAGTTATTTTGTGAGACAGGGGTCCAATGACTCTCAAGCTGGTCCTAGTGGCATTACAATACAGAGAAGGGAAGCAACCCCAGGGAGGGCTTTGATACCGGAAGTCCTCATGGAGGGGGATTCTCCTTCCAAACAATAACCCCAACTCCCTCTCTCCTCCTCCCTATCTTCCAGATGCCATCACCAATCTTGAATAAAGGTAAGTAAAAATGTTATTTTATATTACTATACATAATTAAAGACTATAGCATTTGTTGTGTGTAAGTAAAACTGTAATTAATCTCTATACAATGTATTTTTTTTGTGAATATTTTTGGGTTTCTGGAACGGATTAATTGTATTTCCATTATTTCTTATGGGAAATATTGCTTCGAATTTCAGACTTTTCAAATTTAGAACTAGCTCCTGGAATGGATTAAGTTCAATTTTTGAGGTTCCACTGTGTCACTGATGTCAGCTAGGCCTGTATACCATGTACATGTACGTGTGGTAAATTATTATTATTATTATTTTCTCATTTGTTTGTTGGGTTATCTTATTGAAACTTGGGCAACATATGATGGAAAGATACTTCTTAACATACACCAAAAATGAAAGAAATCAGACCATAAATAGCAGAGTTCACTTCTCAGCCATTAGCGGCCGTTTAGCGGTACAGAATTTTTGTATGGGGTTTTTATGGTTATATTCTCGTTTTTTTTTGGTTTTATTCTTATTTGATAGAATGGAAGATATATTACAGAAATAGATATGATTTTGATTACTTTCATGACGAAAAGTACCTTGAAATTGAGCTCAAAGTAGCGGAAATGTTCTATTCTTTAGTGAAGCTCAAGAGTAAACAAATGACATCACCATCCAATACCTGTCCACCTGCCAGTTCAAATTCCAATATGCAGTCAAGAATGGGCTGACATTATTTATACAATTATTACAATAATGCAGTAGTCTGCATAACAGTAAATCTTCTATTTTTGTGTGTGAATAAAAATTCCAAATGGTTAGTAAGAGTAATATAAGAGGGGCCTGTAGCCATGACTAATGAACAGAGCAAATGTTATTTTAGTGCCAGGAATGTCTGCACTGTTTATTCTGGACCCTATTTTGAAATTGGCATCTGTTGAAATTTGTGTTAAATTGGCCAAATTGCCAATTTCTGACCACTTTATTGGGTGGTTGAAATAGGTGAATGGGTGGTTTCTTGTAGTCAGTCAACAGACTAGAAGTAAATAAGTTTATTAAAGTATACACAAATACAGTTACACAGATTATTATACATAGCAGTGTATGTATAGAGAACCTGGGATAACCCAAAAAAGTCAGACAAAGTGACTTATTTCCAGTACATGGCTTAGGCTTGCCTATATGATTTTTGGTAAATGTTTTTTTTTTCTCGGTTGCATGTTGGGCTATCTCATTGAAACTTGGGCAATGTATGATGGAAAGATGCTCCTTAATGTACACCAAAAATAAAAAAGATGGACGATAAGTAAGGAAGTTCACTTCTCAGCCATTAGCCGCCTCTTTGCGATATATTTTCATATGGTTTTTATGGTTGTATTTTCGTTTTTTTGGTCTCATTTGATAGAATGGAAGATATATTACAGAAATAGACATGATTTTAATTGCTTTCATGACGAAAAGTACCTTGAAATTAAGCTCACAGTAGCGGAAATGTTCGATTTTTGCTGATATTCAATGAACTTTGTGCAAGTCAAGCTGGTTAATTTTATTAAGTGTATTCTAACCTAGCCACTCTGTAATCCAGCAAACTCAGTAATCCGGCACACTATAGGTCCCAATGATGCCGGATTTGTGACGGAGGACCTGTACAATGAAGACATAGTAATGTAAGAGAAATTATTTTAATTGGTTTCAGGACTGAAAGTAGCCTGAAACTGGGCTCAAAATAGCAGAAATATTTGAATTTTACAGATTTTCCTAAAGGATGAGTAAAGCCTTGTAACACCTCTTACCCAACAGTCTGTTTTATGGGTTTATAATAGGCCTGATTATTGGGACACCATAAATCATGACCGATCATTCCTGGTTATATTTTATTAACCGGGAAATGCAGTAAATCTTCTATTTTTGTGTGATTAATTCAAAACGGAAGGCAAATGTAATATAAGAGAGGCCTGGGGGACATGATTAATGAACAGAGGAAATGTTCTTTTAGTGCCAGAAATGTCTGCAATGTATATTTTGCACTCTATTTTTAAATTGGTATTTTTCTAATTTTGTGTAAAAGTGGCCAAATTACTGACTTCTGTGCACTTGATAAGGTTTAGTTGTAATAGATGAATGAGTGTTTCTTGTGCTCACTTAATAGAACAAAAGGAATAGTAGTGAAATAGCTAAGACAAATGAAGCAATGAAATTGTTTAAAATACAACTCAAGGTGGGCAAAATTGCTGATGTGTAAATTATGCTCAGACAGCTAAATCTGTGCCTGCATAATTCTGTATAAAAAAAATGCGCAAGCCCAATTTCTCATATCTAGGCCAAAATTTACTGCTCGCAGTTTATGAGACGGAGCTGTGCTCAAAACATTAGTCTACATAAAAGACCTTGGCATCAATAACATAGATCCATGTGATGACCACTGAAAGGGTTAATGGTATTTAGCCTGTTCGAAAAAGTAATAAACACATTATCCACCATATAAATTTTTTGAAACCATGCACTAACCTTTCCAATAACCAGCAACAAGAGGAAGGTGACTGTGACAGTAGAGGCGACTTATTTTCCATGGCAGTTTACTCAGGCTTCCCATTGCCTCAATTTAGCAACCTGCTTGCTGTTAATAAATACGCTTCTGTCTAGGTAGTCTCAGCAGAGCAGATTAAGTCATATCATGAACCTATAAAAGGGTAAAAATTTCAGGTCATCAGTAAAATTCTGCAAATAAAATTTAAATTTATCTAGGGTATAGTCAATGAAAGGCATATTTCTTAAATGAACATATGCAGGAGGGTTGTGTTTTATGGTGCTTCACTTTACGGCGTCTCGCTAATGCAGCACTTTTCAATTATATCCATTCTTCATTTATTCAGACTTAGTGCAATAAACATATTCACTACTCACTATAAGCTAAGGATGAAAATATTTTGAAGTAAGTAATGTGTCTCCATTGGGAAGGGGAAAAGAAATCTTCCTCGGTAAACCATGCGTGTCATAAGAGGCAACTAAAATGCCAGGAGCAAGGGGCTAGTAACACCTTCTCCTATATAAATTACTAAATTTAAAAAGAGAAACTTTCATTTTTCTCTTTAGGTCACCCTGCTTTGGTGGGATATGGCCAGTTTGTTGAAAAAAAAAAGTAATGTACAATATATGCATTTTGTAAACCTAGTTCTATTGCTCACTTATTAATATATGAGTGTGTAAACATGTTATCATGCTGTTATATGCATTTGAAAGTAAAAAAAAAAAAAAAAAGCCATTTTACTTTGCAGCGATTTTTGCTTTACAGCAGTAGCCCAGAAGCTAACCTGCTGTATAAGCAGAGCCTGCCTGTACTGAGAATTTACTTATAAAGTATGATGATAAAGAAAGCCATTCAAGGATGTACCTGAAATCACTCAATTCAAGCCATAAGAATTCAAGAGCATGAGCAAAAGCTGCTTAAGGGGGCCTTTATCCATGTTTCCACGTGCTCTCAAAAAAAAAATAGAAAAATTATGGAAATTGACTTATTTATACTGAAAAATTGCTTAACTCTTTGGCAACACAATGGTACCAGAATGAATGTTCTACGACGTTTCTACAAGAAATTATAGTCATTTATATCAGGCATGGCGACGGTGATGTGGGTAGCACGTCTGCTCACAGCCCACATATTTTTTGGATTTTTTTCCTTGTTTTTTATCTCTTTTTCTTGCATTATTCTTTCTAATATAATAACTGACTATTTGGCATCATGAAACAGTAGGTGGAGCTTATCCAAAGACTTAGAGACAACCAGGCACCATATGGGAACGTTCGGCAGTGTTCCCGCTCCAGAGAATGCCAGGAGAAATCACTTCATTATTACGCTTATATCAGCTTATATATCAACTCTACGGCTTATTTATCTATCAGAATTGATCTAATATGATATAATAAACACTAAAATAACATACAAAATGTTATTACTCTAGATTGAATAAAATAAGCCATAATATGGTGAGAGACCATCGGGAATATTTTGATATAAATGAGTGAGTCCTCTCATGTCGTATTCTTTGGTCTCTGAGTAAGAGAAAATGGTGTTTTGAAGAGGTTAACTGCACTAGAACATCAGTTTACTAAGAAATATACCCAAAGAAACGCGATTTTCACACATTTTTTTTTTTTTGAGACGGGGGCTGGCCGGCGCTCTCGGCCAATACAAATTTTTTTATTTTTTTTTGAGATGGGGGGGGGGCTGGCCGGCGCTCCTGGCCAATATCTCGGAAGTAACTTATTCACCTAATGGCCAAAATTGTTCCTTTATTACTTAATTAAATGGAATAATATTCACAGAAATTGTAAAATAATGATTTCTCTATTTACTGGTGGAATATTTTGAGAAATATGTATTCCAATTACAGTGGACTCCCGGTTAACGATATTTTTTCATTCCAGAAGTATGTTCAGGTGTCAGTACTGACCGAATTTGTTCCCATAAGGAATATTGTGAAGTAGATTAGTCCATTTCAGACCCCCAAACATACACGTACAAACGCACTTACATAAATACACTTACACAATTGGTCGCATTGGGAGGTGATCGTTAATTAAGCGGGGGTCCACTGTATTTTGGGATTTATGTGGGGGTAAAGGGCAGATATTTTTCAACATTCCAAGAACTAACAAACTTTATTTTTTTGTGAAATAAAGGTAAGATATTTAGAGGAAACTAATCCACGAGGAATTCGTATAAGCATTGTTCTCTCGGCACCAAGTGTCCAAACAACCTTATGTCGTCCCATTTAGGAATAAATTTGGCCACAAGGGCATTTTCAGTAAATCAGTCCTTTTTCAGTCTTTTCTCAGCTGTTGTTTCAGGTATATTTTTGATAAATATTTTCAAGAAAGAGTGAAAACACTTTGTCTTGTGCACCAAAACTGGAGGAATCGGACAGTAACAAAAAAAACTATAATAATTGCCCTAATGCTCCCTCAACCTAGTAAAAACAAGTGAAGACTACAAAGAAGTGAAATCAACTGCTGTACAGCATGGAAAAGTAGATATAAATGCAGTATAATGCAATCCTTTATTGATGTTTCACTCACATAGTAGGCTTTATCGTCACAAACGTATCTGTTGAAAATGATATAAAATACTAAGTTGATGAGTAAGACACATGTGCAACAGCTGGTTGTCTCCACCATTGAAATATCTCACCCACTTGGCAGGAATTTCAACAGATCTGTTTGTGACTTAATAAAGCCCACTATGAAGGCAAAAACGTAATCAATAAAGGATCGCATTACAGTCATGTGTCACTTAACAATGGGGATACGTTCTGAGAAGTGCACTGTTAGGTGATTTCGTTCTTGTGCGAACATCATACTTACACAAACCTAGATGGTACAGCCTACTACACACCTAGGCTATATGGTTTGTTTGTTTTTTTCATCAGAGATTTGCTTGTAAGCAGATTATGTATCACAAACTTTCCTCTCTATTAATGAAAACCTTTTGGTGTTGGGGTCCAGGTTTTTAAATTTTTTAAGGAGCTTGTTGAGGTCTACAAAAATTTCTGCTAAACCCTTCAGTGTGAATTTTCTTTGGGGGTTCCTCTTCTTCTTCTCCTGTAGGGGCTATGGTGAATAAAACAACATGAGATTAAATCAAACACAAGAGAAAATGATGCTATCAAGAGATGTGGTGAACATGAGACATATGAAGCTGCTGCTGGCGTAACAGTAAACTTTTTTTATAAGTAGAAAGAGTACACTTTAGATTCTAGAATAACAATATAAAGTGCAGAACAGTAAATACATAAACCGGAAACATAGTTGTTCATTATCATTAGTATTGTGGATTGTACATAACTGTCTGTGCTATACTTTTATATGTCTGGCAGCATAGTACGTATGTTTATACCAGTCGTAAATGCTGTTCATCACTGACCGAAGCATCTTTATGCAGCGCATGACTATATGCTGCATTTGTATCCACTTTCCATCATAAGGGAGTTCACTTCTCAGCCATTAGCCGCCTCTTTGCAGTATATTTTCATATGGTTTTTATGGTTGTATTCTCAATTTTTGGACTCATTTGATATAATGGAAGATATATTACAGAAATAGACATGATTTTGATTGTTTTCATGACGAAAAGTACCTTGAAATTGAGCTCAAAGTAGTGGAAATGTTTGATTTTTGCCGACATTCAATGAACTGTGTAAGTCAAATTAGTTAATTTTATTAAGTGTATTCTAACTTAACCACTGTAATTCGGCAAACTCAGTAATCCGGCACACTACAGGTCCCAATGATGCCGGATTTGTGATGGAGGACCTGTACATACCTTTCTTGCCTGAATTCCATGGAGTACAAATCAAGGGACTTCAGCTGCTCCCAGTAATTTATGTGCTTTATCATACCTATATGTGCTGTGAAAGTTCTCTGCACATTCTCCAGGTTTGCAATTCTGCCTGCCTTGAAAGGGGCCATTAGTATACAGCAATATTCCAGCTTAGAGAGAACAAGTAATCTGAAGAGAATCATCATGGGCTTGGCATCACTAGTTTTGAAGGTTCTCATTATTCATTCTATCATCTTCCTAGCAGCTGTGGTACATACATTGTCGTGATCTTTGAAAGTGAAATTCTCTGACATTATCACTCCTAGGTCCTTCACATTAGTTTTTCTCTCTATTGTGTGGGTGGAATTTGTTTTATACTTTGATTTAGTTTTAATTTCCTTGAGTTTTTCATATCAGAGTAACTGAAATTGTCTTCATGTAACTTTATGTTGTTTTCTGCGGCCCATTTAAAGATTTGGTTGATGTCTGCTTGGAGATTTGCGGTGTCTTCGATGGATGACACTGTCATGCAAATTGGGTATCATTGGCAAAGGAAGACACAGTGATGTGGTTTACATCTCTGTCAATGTCAGATATGAGGATAAGGAACAGGATGGGAGGGAGTGCTGTGTCTTGTGGAATGGAGCTTTTCACTGTGTAGCTAAACTTCCTCAGCTAGTCAGGTGGTAGATTCAGTACTTGTAGCTAAACTTCCTCAGCTAGTGATGTAATATACCCAGGAGGTGTAGCTCAACCTCTTCAGCTAATCATATGTAGGTTCAGGTGCAGTTCAACTTCCTCAGTTAAGCATGTGCTAAGTTTAGATGGCTTATGTGTCATTGTACAGTGGACCCTCGAGTTTCATGATTAATCCGTTCCAAAGAGCCTGCCGAAAGTCAAAATTCACGAAACTCAAAACCATTTTCCGCATAAGAAATAATGGAAATAAAATTAATCCATTCCAGACACCCAAAAATATATAATAAACATTACACTTACCTTTACTGAAGACTTCTGGGTGGATGGAAGACGGGGGAGGGATAGGGGGAAAGGTTAACTATTTTTTTGGAAGGGAATCTCCTTCCATTAGGAATTCAGGAGCAAGTCCTTTCTGGGGTTATTTCCCCTTTCTTCTTTTAATCCCACTGGAAAACTTGAGAGTCACTAAACCCTCTGTTTGCCAAAAATCTGCCCAAAGGTCTGTTTCTGGCATTTCTTTTTTTTTCCTGAAGGGGAAAAAGGTTTTGTCACTGAACAGTTGGATATGGTTATTTTCAGCTTGGGCAGGCGATACTTTTCAACAAACTTTGCAAACTTTTCACTTGAACACATGTCCTTAACACCAAGAACCCACCTCCTCATTTTTTTTTCCCTCCCTCTGAGGCAATTTCCTAGCTTGGTCTGAGCTGTTCCAGTTTGCTCTAGCAGTTCACCCAGTGGTAGTTTTCCCCGGGTCCCTCCCAAACCTTCCACACCCCCGTCACTCACCCCAACCCCATAGCTTCCCCAATCCACCCCCTTTTCCACAACGGGCAAAGGGTCGGCAGGGTGGGGTCCCCTCAAACCCTTAAAAACCCCCGGGTCGTGTTTTTTTCGCTTTTTTTACCAAAGGGCTTGCACTAGCTTTCCTTGGGCCCATGGTAAATTATTTAGCATTGCAATTAAAAAAACAAGGGAAAATTTTTTAACGTATTTAACCCCGGGGTGGTGGTCATTTTTGGGGTAAAAAAGGGCACACTAGCGTGAAGGCATGGGACGGCTTTTGGCAGGGGGTAGGGGCGGCCCGGGTCCCGGGAGGGTCGCCGAATCATGATTAATCACGAAACTCGAGGCCAAATTTTTCCCAAAAAAAAATTTGCCGATCAAATTTTCACGAAAAATCAAACTCCCAAAACTGTACTGGTTTTTTAGGGCAATGGTCCTCGGGGGGCCATGAATCTAAAACTTACAATACTATTCATTTTTTGGAAAACAGTAAAATTGTTACAACTCAAAAAATTTATGCAGTGATATAAGTCTGGGTTATAAGATTGTTTGCTTACAATCTTATAACCCAGGTATGGCAAGTCTCTCTAACATGTGCTGCCTATGTTTACCTAGAAGTAAAGTAAAGAGAGACTTGGGTATAAATCAATTTTTGTGGACTGTATCCTTGGGTAGAACCTAAATTATATTTATGAAAAAATGTTAAACTCATAGGGTTCATACAGTGTATGCAGAATGGGAAGCAATCATGAATGGTTATAATTAGGACCATAATTTTTAAAAGGGTGAACCGTTAAGCCAGAGGAAGGCCTCGGTCAGATGACCAAAAACTCCAACAGTGGGTCATCATCTGACTAAGACTTGTGTCAGTTAACACTTGTCCTGTTTCCCGACAAACCTTTCCAACATGGGAAGCAAAACAGGCAGATCAAATAAAAGCGGGGAGCTCCTTTTTCCCCTTTTTCAAAGGGCCACACTGGGATCAAACAACTTTAAAGGGGATGAATTATTATTATTCATACAACTGCAGAAACAAACTCTTAAGGTTTTTTGCGTGCCCCGGAGGAAAAGGGGGACAGTCAGGTTTTTGGGCCAAAGGAAGCAGAGCTCATGTTCAAATTTCAAGATAAAGAGCCCCCACCAGCATCAAGGAACCTTTCCTTGAAATTTATAAAAATGGGGGGGAGCATTAAACCTGTAGGATTTATACAAAACCCCAAAGTGGGGAAAAGGATGGAAGGGATTTTTGCTCAATTTAGGAAACTGGGCAAAGATCCAATTTCCTGGGTCAAGAGCCCCCCCCCATCAAGGAACCTCCCCCTTAGGGGAAACCTTTCTTAAGGTAATGGGATATAAAGCCACTCATAA